TTTTAAATAAAATATATTTATTATTTAATTTATTAATTTGAGATTAAAAAATGTAAAATGAACAATTATTTTGAAGCTACAGTCCCATACACAAATTCCCTTCCTAAAAAATATGTCAAATCTAATTATTTTGGCGCAAATACATTTTAGAGCTGCATGGAATGACCCCTCTAATAATTTTTAATAATTTTTAAATCAACTTAAATTTATTTATAAAACAAATTAACTTACTTAACAAATGCCACATCATATTTTTATAAAATCTATTTTAAGTCGTAATATTTCGATACGAATAATTTTTAATCTCAATATTATACATTTGGATGACATGGCAAAATAATTGTATATTTTTAGTCACTTCGTTCAATGACAAAATTATCCTTGATTTCTCTCCATTGAATTTGGAGATTATGAGCTTAGGGTTTCAGATTTGGTCATCAACTCTTCTACGAAGTACAAACTACAAACCTACTCAGATTGTGGACCTAATAAAGATGGGACAGTTGTTAGAGTAAAAACTTAATTTAGCCTTCTATCTTACTATATTTGTAAATTTTTAGTCCCTCACCTTATCTCTAATATTTTTAGTCTTTTATCTATTAGAATTGAAAAAAAATAGTCCTTACTTTATAATATTTTGTTTATTTTGTTAATTAATTATTAATTTTTTTAACTTATTATTAACTCAGTTAGCGACTATTAACTTTTTTAGCTAAAAGTATGTTTTATCAACTAATGATTAGTTAATAATTAGTTAATAAAGTTAATAGTCAACTAACAAAATAATTTTGTAACCGATTGTTAACTCTATTAGCTGAAAATAGATTTTTGTTACGTAATAGTCAACTAATGAAATTAACAAAATATTATAAGTGAATGCTATTTTTTTTAATTCTAATTGATAAGGGGTTAAAATTATCGTAATATAAGATAAAATATTAAAATCTATAAATTTAGTAAGATAAAAGACTAAAAGTAAGCTTTTGCCTAGTTGTTAGGGGCTTGACCGAGGTTAGGGGATCTGAGTGGTCAATATTTAAAAAGGATCCTGGGCTCGATTGAGGTTAAGGGATCTGAGTTGCCAATATTTAAAAAGATCCCGTGTCTTTTTTAGGGCACAAGATGGGTAATAAATATATTTTTTTATAAATAATTTTTATTAAAAATATAAATATTAATTTTGATTTAATTAATTAATTAAAATTATTTATATATCAATTATGTTAAAATATATATTAATTTTTATAATTTTTAATATAAATTAATTATAAAAATATATATTTATTATATTTTTAATTTGTACGTTTAGTATATAAAATAGATAAATCTATTAAAAAATTAGTGTAAATCCATGAAAAATATCCAAAAATACCAGATGAGATTGCCACCAAAAATAGAAAATTGTTTTATGGGACATGTTGCACTTAATAGGTACATTTAATATGTGCATTCAATATTTTGATCATGATTAAGATTTAAATTATAATA